CACCTTTCGGACATGAAGCACGCTGCTGAGCTGCCAGCGACAGCAGCGAACACGCTGGAACATCCTGTTCGGTCTCCTGGAGCGATCAATGGAGCAGTTCCCGATCCTGTCCTACATGGTGACTTTCCATTGGGTGACGCGATCCATGTGGAAAAAAGTTGAAAATTCGATAGGTTTTGGTTTTTAATAATTTTCAGAATGTTATGTGCCTTTTTGATATTTATGTAGTTGGCGGAGTTGTGGCTGTTGAGGTTACGGAGGACCGAGATCCCCTTCATCCTGGTCGGAGGTAATTGTTCAATCTTTCTTGACGTAATTTTATTTTATTTTTATGTATTTTGTGGTATTGTATAAACTTTAAATTCTTCTTGGTTTTGGGTTAATCATATCAAATTGGTATTTTTATCCGACTCTCGCTGCCGTTGTTATATTTAAAAAATCTGCGAACAACAATTATATTTTATTACACTTTATTTATGGGTAAGATATTTTTTTCAAGGGAAAAATGCTTCTAGGCCCCAAACAAAAGAAACATGTCTCCACACTCCAAGACTTTTCAACGGGCTCTTTGCCCCAAAGTAAACTAATTATTCACTGAGCCCCAAAACACAAAGCCCAAGATTTTACACAGGTAAAGACTATAATACCCTTTACCCCATTCTCTCTTTCTCTCTAACCATGCCAATCCGGCCCTCTTGCTCTCCCTCTCCTCCCACTCTCACACCTGCCGCTGCCCCACCCCCGCTGCCCACCCTCCTCTCTACCATAATCCGCCTCCCCCGTCGTCGCGCCCCAAAACCACTCCGCCGTTATCCACCGCGTTGGATCGTTTCTGTCGCCGGCGATCTCGCAAACGGCTTCGCTCCAATTTAACTCTCCCCGCAAACAAAGATTCAGGCCTTGGAGTCCCCAGCACACCACCAAAGATCCTCCGCCGTCGGTGAAGGGAAACTTCTTATTAAGTTAAGCACCGTGCGGGATTGTATGTGCCGTCGATTTCCATCCCAAATCCCCCGTCCCATCGCTTTAGTTTAGAAAACTAGTCAAGAGCATTGTGGTAAAGAGGGGAGGGTAGGGAAAATGCTCCGTGAACCCAAATCGCTAAGATTAGAGACTTTTTCATTTACACTTTACGACTTAGAGACTTTTGCATGAAGTTGTGAACACGAAAATGTACTTCTGCTTTGCCTATTACCATTTACCATGCCCACACATCCACCACGAGCAAGGCGATATCTCAGCAATAAGAAAGCTGGATAATGAAACTTCCTTGTAGTTATTATTCGTCCATAGTCATGCCAAAAAAACATATTGATTCAAAATGATTACAGTATACACGATAACAAATAAGCAATAGAAGGCTGATTTACTAGGACAAAAGGAGTTGTGTTGTACTTTCCTACTGGTTTCCTACTGGAAAATTAACGAACTTAGAGCTGATATTTATTTGCAGGAAGTGTTTCCCATAATCTTTAAAAATTTCAAAAGTCAGTGATTTACGTGTTGGTTTTAATTTACGGCGTGTTGTGTAAGTACGCGTATGATTGTTGAAGCGTTACGGATTGCTTGTTAGTTACGCGTTGTTTTAATGAAATTTTCAAAAAGCAACGATTTACGTGTTTTTGTTAAAGGTTCGCGCGTTGAGTTGTTAATGCTTACGCGTTGATGTAAAGTATATACACGTTGATTGTAATGTTACGGTATGCTTGTTAAGGTCGTAGGTGCTTGTTAAGGTTACGCTTTGGTTGTTAAGGTTATACGCGTCGGTTGTTAAGTGTTATACGCGTTGCTTGTAAGGTACGGGTTGCTTGTTAATGTAACGCTAAACTTAACAAGCAACCTCTAACCTAAATAACGCAACGTAGAACCTTAACAATGCAACCCCCGTAACACAACGCTATAACCTAAACAACCAACGCTAACCTTAACAACCAAGACGAAATCGCTTGGCTTTGACAAATTTCATTAAAATTCAGGGAAAATGCTTGTGAACCCAAATTCGTACGATTAGAGACTTTTGTCATTTACACTTTAACGTAGAGACTTCGTCAATGCAATTGAACACAGAAAAGTACTTCTGCTTTGCCTAATCCATTCTAGCATGGCCAACATCCACGATCGAGCAAGGGAAATACTCGAATATTAGAAAAGCTGGCATAATGAACTTCCCTTGTATGTATATATCATTCGCCAAGTCATGCTCAAAAATAAATAATTGATCCAAAATGATTACAGTATACCCGATAACAAATAAAGCAATAGAAGGCATGTTTTCTAGACAAAAGGAGTTGATGTGTTCTGCTTTCCTATGCGTTTACTGAAAATTAACGAATTAGAGCTGATATTATTGCCGGAAGTGTTTTTCATTTAATATTTAAGAAATTTTTCAAAAGTCAAGTGATTTACGTGTGGTTGATTAAGAGTTATGGATTGCTTGGTTAAAGTTACGCGTTGAATTGTTAAGGTACGGGTGCTTGTTAAGGTTACGCGTTGCTTTAATGAAATTTTCAAAAGCCAACAGCGATTTACGTGTTTGGTTAAGTTGCGCGTATGTTGTCTAACGTGTTACGCGTGATGCTTGAAGTTATACACGTTGATTCGTGAATGTTACGGTTGCTTTTAAGGTTACGGCGTTGCTTTTAAACGTACGCGTTGGTTAAGGTATCAGCGTCGTTAGGTTATTAGGTTTGCGGTTGTTAAGGTTACGGGTTGCTTTGTAATGTAACCGTAACCCTTAAAAGCAACCTGTAAACACTTAATAACCAACGTTAGAACCTTAACACAGGCAACCCGTACTTGAACAACGACGCGTATAACCACTTAACAACCAACGCAACGCTTAACAACCAACACGTAAATCGCTTGGCTTTTAGAAAATTTCATTAAATTAAGGGAAAATGCTCTCGTGAAGCCCCAATTCGTACGCATAGAGAACTTTGTTCATTTACACTTACCGAATTAGAGACTGTTTGCAATAGAAATTTTTGAACAGCAAGAAATAATTCTGCTTTGCCTATACATTTAGCATGCCACACATCCACCACGAGCCAAGGAAATACTACGAATATTGAAAGCTGGATAATGAACTTCCTTGTATGTTACTAATCATTCGTCATCAGTTATGCCTCAAAATAAATATTGAACCAAAATGATCAGTATACACCGATAAACAAATAAGCATAGAAGCTATCGATTTTACAGGACAAAGGAGTTTGTTTGCTTTCCTATGGGGTTTACGAAAATTACGGAACTTAGAGCTGAACTTATTGGCAGGAAAGTGTTTCCCATAATTTTAATGAAATTTTCAAAAGTTCAAGTATTACGTGTTGGTTGGTTAAGGTTACGGGTTGCTTGTTCAAGACGCTCGTTGATTGTAAGGTTACGGGTTCTTGTTAAGGTTACGCGTTGGCTTGTAAACAACCAACGCTAACCTTACACAAGCCAACACGTAAACTCGCTTGGCTTTTGAAAAATTTCATGTAAACTTAGGAAAATGCTCTGTGAACCGCAAATTCGGTCAAGATTAGACGAACGTTTTGTCATTTAACACTTTACGATTAGATGACTTTTGTCAATGAAATTGAACACAGAAGAAGTCTTCTGCTTGCCTATTACCTGTTAGCATGGCACACACCACCCACGAGCAAGCGGAAATACTACGATATAGAAAAGCCTGGATAATGAACTCCTTTCACTTATACGATTGTCATAGTTCATGCCTCAAATAATAAAATAATTGATCCAAAAATGATTACAGTTTATCACCGATATAACAAATAAGCATAGAAGGCATGATTATCTAAGGCAGAAACTTAATTACAAAGGGAAAAATGACCTTAGGATCCCTCGCTCACTTATGATACTTTTAGGACCTAATAAATAATAACTAGAGAATAACCAAAAGAACCACATTTCTCCTTCCCAAAACTCCCTGGTTCTCAGTAAACCTCCTTCTTCCAGATCGACACCTGAGCGCTCTTCACCTCGTTCGTCACAAACGCGCACGCCTCGATCCGGGATCTGTGGACGGCCTGAATGTCGCGACGAGATCACGCTTGGCTTTCTGCCGACAGGGGACTGAGTGGAACGCCGCCGGAGCGGCGGTTGGAACGCGTCTTCGCGCGGGGTCGCGACGTGGCGTGGGCGGGGTCCCAGGTGGGTGCCTCAGCTCTCCTCTGCCACAATAAAAAAAGGAAACCAAGATCTTGGAATATTATGTTGGTTTAAACAACATATCACGGGGGGGTTGTTGGGGCTAGAAGAAAATCGCGCAAGTTTTTGGGGCAAAGAGCCCGTTAATGAAAAAGTTTTGGGGGGTTGGAAGCATGTTTCTTTTGGTTTTTGGGGCTGGAAGCATCTTTCCCTTTTTTCAAAATTCCAGATAAAAGAAAATAGTTTTAACCCTCCTTATCTTCCAAAATTATAAATCTCATCCAAATTATCAAGAAAAAATATTAGCTCCCCTCCTCTCTCCTCTCCTCCTCGTCTTCACTCGTCTCCTCTCTTCCATCCCTTCCTCCCCTCCCGCCTCCCGCTTTCCCCCCAACCGCCCGTCCTACTCACCATTCTCCCTCGTCATCCTCCTCACACCACTCCCATGCCCCACCATGATCCCCCTTTCCCGAGCCAATCCGTATCACCCTCCTCATCCTGCCCCTCCCTCTTTTCCCCGCCAACCTCCTCCGCTCCCTCTCCTCCCTCATTATCCCTGCCGAATTTTTAAGGAAAATGGTTGTATTATAATTAATTGAGGGTTAGGAGGAGATAAGTTTTCTGTCGGGAATTATCAAGGAA